ACGGGTGGGTGAGCAGCCAGCCAGCTGCCATCACTCAGTCCCACCGCTTTGTCTGGTGGCTGGTGGGCCCTCACTTGAAAATTACGCCCCCATCAAAGGCTCCAGGTTAGTTCTAACACTTCTAGGAGGTGAAATACAGGCTCACCTCTCTAAACACCTGGGTGATTCATGACATGATGCCCACACTGACCCTGGGAGAACTGTTTGAGCACCCTGGGAGCCAGCGGAGACGTAGAGAAACCCTCCCCTTCCATGTCGAGAGCATGACATCAGCCCACAGCTTGTAAAGGGGATGGAAAGCTGCGTGCCAGACAGCAGGCTGCTCTCGTAAAATGGGACCGGTTCAATGATTAGTTGCCCTAGAGTCCCTGGGTCAGTCCCTACCAGCTTCAATAGCACCCCTGCTAGCTATTATCTCAGAAGGACGCTCGTTATAGAAAATCACATCCCTCTGCCAAGTTCTCGTGTCTCACTATTTTTGGAATGACAGGGGCAGGCTCTGTGCCTCGGCAACTGTCAGCAGAGCCACACGGAGAGCAAATCCATATAACGATCAGGCTAGCAGGGACAGCGCTGGAAACAGCATCGCCTGAGGGACCGTCCCCTGGAAGCACCCTGCAGTCATGAGAAAAGGGATAAGGGCAATAAACATAAAACCCAGAAGCTATTTGACACTATTTGCATGGGAAGCTGATCTCCCCCAGCCCTCTTCATTCTCATGCATATGAGTGGAGACAAAAGGATTTAAAAGCAAACCACCTGTGCGGGAAGGATGGTTCCTAAACCCCAAAGAAGACAGGACCTACTTACTGCAAACTCATTTTAATTAAAACATTCCAGGATCCACATTCCCCAGGATTAAATTACTGACTTAGCTATTTATACATATAGCCTCTTTCACCCGTTCCAGGACAGTATTGTTGAGGTGTTGGATGACATCAGCGGCAGGTAAACAGAAACGAGCATTTTTTGGTGCTTGTGACCCCTAACGCAGAACCCACAATTATCTGCAGGTCAACCCCAGCACCTGTCAGCACCTCAGATTACTGCAGCGGGAGTATAATCCTCTCTGACACTAAAGGATGATTCTAAGGCCCTAGAAAAAGCAGAGGTAGATGGTTTAGGCAAGGTGGAAAGTTCCCAAGGCAAGGCTTTCAATTAAAAAAAAATAAAAAAATAAAAAAACCAGAGATGTGGTGAGCAAGGAAGACCTCACATAGATGTAGCTGGAGCAGGACTTAAACTGCCACCCCCGCAGGACTCCTGCCTTGCCTTTCACAGGAAAGGAATCTGGAGGTGCAAGTCCCAAACTGCCCAGCCCAGCGCTGGGCATGCAGAGGGCCATGTCCAGCCTCTGCCAGCCTGCTGTGCAGCTAATATTTCCTCTTTAGGCTCCAAAACCCGTGACCTGTACCAGGCAGAGACAACACTTGCAGCTCCTACCACCTAGTGGCTGCAATATTTCCCTGTGACAGAGCAGAGAGGCTGTTTGGAGGTCAGGCAGCCTCAGCCCACCCTGGGCAAATAAAGCAGCCCTTGCTAGCGGGTATCGCTTATGCCGCAGCTGAGACTAAATTAGGACCACACTGAGCACAGAGGCAGCACAAGAGAGCAGAAAACCTTTCTGAAAACCATCAGCAGCTAATGTAAGCACAGAAAAACCTCAGTTAGTTCTAAAACAGGGGAGCAAAAGTAGCAGCAATATAGATGAACTCAGGCAATGCCTTGCTGTTTCTGGTACTTGTGCCAGCTGAGCTAATGCTGGATTACCAGCACTACACGGCATCGTACTGTGCAGCAGAGACATGCCCCAGGCTGTTTAAGTCAGTCCTAGGCTGCGTAAGTCAGGACAAGAGTTTGCTGGTTTGGGCGGAATACTATACAAGAGTCAGAATTCAAATGGCTCTAGATCCAGCCAAACCCTCAAACCCTTTGAGCGCTCTGTCCTCAAACTGCTGCAGCGTTTCAGGTACTACCAAGGTCCTTCCTTTCCAGTTTCTGCAATTTCCTCTTGAACTGGGAGGGGTGGCATAACTGGACTCCCCTATTCTATGTGCAGCCTCACCAGTGCCAAGCAGAGGGGATAATGACTTCCCCTGAGCCCCTGAAGCAGCCCAGTACATAATTTAACTTAAGTGCAATGAGACTGCACTGCTGGCTCATACTGAACTTGGCACCTAGTGTAAGCCCCAGCCACCTTCCAGCTGGGCTACTACCCTACCAGTTAGTCCCAGCCTGTCTTGATGCATCTTATGGGATCAGGCTCTGGCTTTGCTTTGACAAATGGTAAGAAGCCTCAAAATGGCTAGTTCTTGAAAAATTCCTAAAGGCAGGCCCAGTAGGTCATCATTTACCCAGGATCTCCACGGCAGACTGGAGTCACGCCTTGTTTTTTATAACATGAACCGTTAATACCACATTTTCAGAGTTTGGGCTGTAAGTGTGATACACGTGATGTGGTTTCCACATAATTGCAAGCGAAACTAGGTATTGTTTTGTGTAACCCTTCCCCAAATCCAAACACAAGAAAGTGCTTTGGTATTTTTGAATATGTCCGCAGGCCGGCATTTTGAATAAGTGGTTACTGTTTTATTTTAAGAGAGAGAGAGAGAGAGAGAGAGAGAGAGAGATTCTTTTCTGCCAGATTCATGTTAATGGAGGGGCTAACCCAATGCCATGTAAAGAACAAGCAGAAACTCCAAGTACGGTAGCAGCCCAGTTAAGCCCTCCTGGAAGGACTCTGTCCAATGAATACCCTGCTGTTGCAATCATTTCTCTATTACAGCAAAGGCATTTAATTATGCTTTTATAAGCAATTTACATCTGGTTATTCTGGATTGAGGTGGGCGTCACTGAGTGCAGAACACGGACAGAAGACGCGATGAACCACTTTAGTCTGAAATCTACGTTTTCTTTTGTAAACGCTTCCCTTTTTGGTTATTATTGGAGGGAAGTGGTTTTCTGTTACTGACAATCCAGATAATGAAGCAAAGGGGGATTCAAGTAAAAGAGGAACCTGGGAAAGACTGGCAATAGCAGGGTCCTGCCATGACAAGCACCACTCCCTTGGCACCCTTTCAGACTGACCAGCTCTGTGCTCAGGGCAGCAAGGGCTGAGGGGCTCTTCCTTCTGCTCCTCTGACGAGAAGCTGGTCCAGAAATTCCTGTTCCAGGCTGCTTTACTGTTTAGCAACCTCCTTTTCATTTCCAGTCTAACTGTATCCATGGCCAGTCTAGACTCATTTAATCTTAGCCAGCATCTTGACAGCTTTGTTTCCCTCCTCAGTGTTCGACATCTGCAGACATCAATCAGATCCTCTTTTTGCTTTCAATTTGCTATTCTAAACAGGCTGAGTTCTTCTCTTTTTTTTCCCCTTTGCAAAAGACACTGCAATTACTTCATCAGCCCAGAAGACCTTGTCTGCACCCATAGCAGATTGCATTCATTTTTCGAACATGACAGATGGTACCAGCACAGTGACCTTAAATCTTTCATAAGTTCATGGGAAATACTCTACACAGCCCAGAAGCACAGTTCCTATTTTCACATCTTCATTGCAATTCAGTAAGCAAAGCCATAGCAAAGAGCATAGCAATGAGTGGCAAAACCCACTGCTATCCCACATCTGACCTCAAACAGCACACATCAATACTGGATTTTTCTGATATTTTACATGAGAACTTCAGGAAAACCATCAAAATTTGGGCCCTGTGTCTTCATATTATGAAATAAAAGAGGAGTTTCCTCAGTTACTAGTGACAACAGTGAGCTTTAAGTTTTGATTCTGCTCTACAGCACAAAAAAAAAACCCCAAAAAACACACAACAAAAAACAAGAAACCACCTCATTTCTATTGCATGAGTCTACTCAAGGGCTCCACCTTAAATGAGCACAGCTCAAACTCCATAGCTGGCTGTTGCATCACCCCAGTGAGAAGAGAAACGGGTGGGTGGCAGGATACCTTTTTTTTTT